CGTGCAGTAATCCCGTCGTTTGGAGTTTTCATTTCCTTCACACAGCGTGGAAGCAACGCGCTAATATTTTCATAAAAGCATTACGTCCTGATTCCACGCGTTCTACTGTAATGCAGTTTTTGACGCGAGTCATTCCTCGCTTTGATTGTTTCATTGCATCTCGCACTTCTCGGGACAAGACGTCACCAATTTTTTATATTTGTATCTTCAGTTTCCCTATAATCACCATAAGTACTATCGACTTCATTTTTGCAGGGTTTTCTACAGAAATCTACCGCTATCTTTAAAATCACTTGTCAGTCCTTGCTGACTGTCCCGCATGCTACTTTAACAGCCACAATTTGTAGTTTCTCACCCGGCATTGTTTGACTTAATTTTTTCATGCTTCATCTTCAGACTTTCCTTTACCAATCTTCAGTTGAATTTGTTGATGTCTTGTTTTGTACGTTTCTTTGAAGTTTAACAAAGTTTCACTTTGTTCCATTTATTATTTCTGACCAGTTGCTTTCTTAATTTCTCTTCGTTTCTTCATCAGTTTGCTTCGAATTGTTCTGTCGGCCTTTATGATCCTTCTTCCGACGTTTTCTGCCGTTTCTCTACCAGCTCTTATGACATCCTACATCCAATAATTCACGTTATTGTCCACTGCTTCTCCTGCTTATTCCTGAGTTTCGTGAAGGGCGTAGAACCAGAAGATTTGGTTTGAGTTGGAATAACGGAAGGTTCTTGTTTAGTGTTTCCATATCGAGAAGCTCGAGTTTCATTTTCAGCAATTTCTTTCTTTCTAGCGCTCAGTCCTGGCACACTTTACTTCTGATGAGCCTGTGGTCGCTCTCTGCACCAAATCTGCTGCGCACCACGACATTCTGTACTCTGTTCTTTATGTTACTGAAAATGAAACTGATTTCATTCTTGACGTTTGGGCGTTTGGGCATTTCCATGTCCGTCTTTTGCTTGATTTTCCTCAAAAATCGTATTAACAATATGTAACTTGCTGTTTTCAGCAAGCTCCATCAATCGGTCACGCATGTCTTTCCTTTTATCGTTATCCAAATCGGCCCACTTGGGCTTGTGTTATTTTGCTGAGGTCTGAATTTGGCGTTGAAATCACCAACGATGAACTTTTGAAGGTCCTTTACATGTTCATGCACTTCTTCATCCATCTTCTTCATCTTCCATCGCCGCTTCTCCTTTCGGGTCGCGGAGGCAGACACGTCAGACAGTGCTTCC